GATTTATTTCGTTGATTTAATTCAGTTTAATTTAGTTTAAACAGTAAGTATAATTTGAATTTATATTTAAAAACATGAAGTTTAAATTATATGTTATGTTTGAACTTAGTTAAATTATTTAATTTAGAGTTTAACTCTTTTAAAATTTAATTATTCAAATCATTTTTAAATAGTAAAAATATGCACATTCTTTTTGTGTTTCACTTCTACTAAATATAAATTAAAATTTTATTCTCTGTTTAAATTAAAATTTTAACTGCATATCTAAACACCAATTTAAATTTAAACTATATAATTTAAATTTTTTTGTTTAAATAATAACATTTAAATCGATAAAATTCAAACTAATAAACTAAACGACGGTAATAAATAGTTAAAACGTTTAAGTCCGGTATTATCATTTTCATGACTAAAAATGCATGTTCGTACATAAATTAGAATGTACGCTGGGACTTTCTTTGTTGACTTTCTGAAATTTCTAATGGGTTATAAGACCCGTTTATTTTATTTATTTGAGTTTATAATTTAAATTTTGTTACAGTAAAAAATTTTTAAGAACAGTTATATTTAATTTTTTTATTATAGTAAAAAATTCTTACATAAAATTATATTTTAATTTGAATTAAAAATTTAAATCAGTGAATTAAACGGTCTCATAATTAATTGATCGGGTTGTTACAGAAATCAGTTATGTTAAGATAATGGATATATGCTTTTTCGATCGTCTAGTTCGATTCCAACAAGAGAATGGGCAAATTTTGTTTTGGTTCCAGAAGATTAGACGCGTGTTTCTTTTTGAAGAAAAAATTTTAATTCTTGAGCACTGTTAAAACTTTCCAGAGGAATTTTCTTGAATGTTTGTGTATCTTCCATGTTTTTTGCTGATCGATCGGGTATCGTATTTTTAATGTTGTTATACATATTATATTAGTCAGTAGCCACGATAGCTAATTAATTTTTTTATGCATATTATATTTTCCATGTTGCCACTTTTTTTTCAGTCTTTTTGTCATTTTATTAGTTTATTATTTAATATGTGAATTCCAGATATATTATTATTTACGGTTGTATGACTATTAGGCCAAAGTGTTTTTTTATTTTTTATTTTTTTCCTTTTACAATAATATAAGAAACAAGTTTAAGAGTTCTTATAAAAAGACTATAAAAATTGAACTATCAATAATTCTTTATTTTCAGTGATTATATCTATATAAAAATATGTCTTATGAATATTTTTTAATCTAATATGAATTTAACCACATCTAATGATTAAAAACTGACTATAACGTTAAGACGAACGTCCCAACAACTTTTGTGACAAGATTTTTTTTTTAACAACCGATAAGTGTTGCTACCGTTTTACCTTTAAGAAGACTAACGATATTATACATGAGTGTGCACATTAAAATTTATATTGCACGACACAAATTTATTACAATAAAAAATTAAACCATATAAAGATGAACATGCTCGAAAACAATTTGCAGCACTTGTTTAAGAAATAAAAAATTATGGTATATAAAAATAAAAATAAAAGGTCACAGATGAATTTTATTATAACAATCCTATTGCACGTCGTCACATACCCTATTCGATTAAGCAAGTTATTTTCTTTCCTCTTTTTTTCTCTTTTAATTGATGCTTAGAATAAATTCTTTTTTCGTTTTCTTTTTAACCCAAGCAAACTAACAAACCCATTAAATAGCTTAAAAACTCTTTGACAGTGCTTGGCATGCCGGACCCAATGGCGGAGCCAACTTAAGGATACGGCCTCACTGATTAAGGTGGCTCCTTTAATATTATTCTAATCAAGTTTTTATTTTACATTTTTTTCCTTATGTCAACTCTCCCTTTTAAATTTTTTATTAACTATATTTATATGAAGGTATCGTTTATTTTATCGATTTGAGTTTTCAGTTATAAGTTTTTACAGTTAAGAACTCTAAAAAAATGTCACATTTAACTTTTTCTGCTACAGTTAAAAGCTTTCTAAAAATATCACATCTCAGCTCAAATTGAAAATTTGAATACGCAAAACAAACAAGACTGAAATGTTTAAAAATATTTCAATTATACCTTAAAGTTCAACTTTTAAATATCTCTTATATATTTCACACATAAATTGTTAAATATATCTATAAACAATAATATTGTGACATAAATCTACAATTCGTGGATTGTAAATTTTAACTGTGGTCCTGTTTGAACCAACGGTATAAATCGGACCGTACACAATCCTAGTCTAATGGCATGGAGATACGGGTTAAGCATAAATTTTAGTGAGAATTATGGATTCGATTATATTTATAATATTTATAATATTTATTTATCACTTATATGATGACACATGTTATTATAGTCCTTTTCTTTAAGAAAAAACCCACCATAGAAACTATTTGTGTCCCTCGTTTACATCATCATCATCATATTCCTTAAAAAATAAGTAACAAATTTTAAAACATTTAAAAAAGATAAAAAGGTAACAAATTTAACGACTTAAAAAATATATAACAATTTTTCTAATTTAAACTTTCGAGAAAAAAGAAGAATACCAAAAATCTATAGTAGTGCGGGTACATGGCGCACTACCCATAGTGTTTTATTTTTTGCCTTTTAGGTAAATATATATATATATATATTCATTAAAAAAAGTTAAAAGACTATTTTAAATTGAAACATTTTTTGAAACATTTTTTTTGTGTGTTAATTATCAAAATTTTGAAACTTATTCCCTAAACGATAAAGCTTTCTAACACGAGTCGTAGGAATACGATCCTACGTGTATTTACGCGTAAATAATATGTCATGAACAAAAGTGAGTGTCGTTGTCCTTTGACATTTACAATTACAAAATCCGTTGAAGAATGTGAAAAGCCTAGCTCATTTCGACACTGTTCACTTCATTAATTTAAATTTAAAATTTAAATTATATTACAATAAATATTTTTAAAAAACAGTCATTAATTTTGATTTTTTTTTTCATCTGCGGCAATGCTATTTGTCGTGACTCTCTCTATTCTCACTATCCATATGTGAAGCATTGGCCTGTACAGTAATCACGTTTGGTTCATAAATTTAAAATTATGATTTAAAATTATTTTTATTTTACGTGTATTTTTTATGAGAAAAAATACTATAACGAGTTACGAATCATAATTCGAATCATAACTGAGACCCTGTTCATTTCGCCGATTCGAGTTTTGCTACAGTAAAAAGCTCTCAAAAACAGTCACATCTAACTTTTTTACTACAGTAAAAAGTTATCACACAAAATCACATCTCCACTCGAATTATAAACTCGAATAGCGAAGTAAACGGACCCATCTCACTAAAAATTATTAACTTTTTAATAAAAACTTGTTTTTGTGGAGCCCACCGACCTTTTTTTGTTTTCTGATAAACTTTTTTTTTTTTGTATCCTTTTTGTTTCTGTTTTTTTTTTTTTTTTTTTTCCAGAAGCTTTCTCTCTCTTTTCTTCTCTTCATCATCCGGGACATAAATGAGTTTTCCAATTGAAACTCATAGAGAAAAAAGTAGGAGGATAGAGAAAATCTAGAGTACTGCGTATGGCACACTACCCACAGTGACTCTGGTTTTCTGTCGCTTAAATGTGAAAATAAAATATATATTCCTTCGAAAATAAGTAAAAATAGAAAAAAGCTTTACCATTTTAAATAGAAAAATTCGAAAACATTCTAAAAAAAATATTAAAAAAATGAACAAACTTAATGGCTTAAAACTATATAACGATTTTTCCAATTAAAACTTGAGGAAAGAAATCTAGAGTGGAGGTTTTATATAGCGCACTACGAATTGTGTTTGATTTTGTGTTGTTTAATGGCAAAAATATATTCCTTTAAAAATAAGTAAAAATAGAAAAAAGCTTTACCATTTTAAATAGAAAAATTAGAAACTTATTCTAAAAAAGATAAAAATAATTTAACAAATTTAATGGTCTAAAAATATATAACGATTTTTCCAAATATATATATATATATATATATCATGATTCCTTAAAAATATTGTTTAAAAATTTATAGGAGAAAGAAAAAGAACGGACGTATGAGATTATCTTGTATCATGGGTCTAATTATTTTCGCCACGTGTATACACCTCCCTTCCAGGTTATAACGATGTGACCCACCGAATCGCGATCGAAACGAAAGGCAGTCAAGGATTCATAATATTGATTCGCTCATTAAAAAAAAAAGATTAATTATAAAAATTCCCTGAATTATGCCTCTGTAACATTTTATCTATAATTTTTAAATATAATATTCATTTTCTTTAATAATGAAATAGTAAAAAAAAATCTCTCTATTAAAAAATTTAACAATTTAACAAAAATACCCTCTTTGTTAAAAAAATTTAACAGCTTCTAACACGTATCACATAAATAACAGTCGTTGTTAAACAAATTAGAGTATAATTATAATTTTAACCCCGCACCCTAACTTTTTTAGTCTAATTTACATATGGTATAACAAAAATAAATAAATTTTCTTCGCTCCCAACGACACAATTAATGATAAATCTTTCGTAATTAAAAATATAAATTTGAATTTGTTTTAAATTCATATTAAATTTCAAACGTAAAGTTACCAAAATACTTCTAAAATAACTAATTAAATATTAATTTTCTTAAAAAATTTAACAAATAAAACTTTTTTATTAATGTTTCATAATTTAGAGAGAATAATGTTATATTTTAAAAATCAGACGTGTTATAAGGAATATAATTGAAAGAATTTCTGTAATTAATCAGAAAAATATTGACTCCTTCGTAAAAGGGGTAGAAATTATAAATACATAAAATTCTTATCCTAAACCCACCACGGTGACCTTTTTCACCATGGGCTAAAACGTCTTCTCGTCTTCTCGGTAGATTTATTACCAAAAACAAAAAAAATCTCTCACCAACTTCCTCTATTTATGGAACGCACTGCCACCACTTCTTTCATCGTCCTTCCACTCTCTCTCTCTCTCTCAAGACTTCCAAAATGTCGTCGGAGTACCAATTTCTGTTCCTTGCCAATGCGTTTCATCCAACGACGTCGTCTTTGTCGTCGTTTTTCTCCGCCTTAGTTTGCGCTTTCCTTTTGGTGACCGTTTTCGGTCTCTGGCTCGTTCCCGGCGGGCTGGCGTGGGCCCTCTCGAAGTCCAAATCCCGTTTCCGTATCCCGGGCCCACACGGCCTCCCTCTCGCCGGCCTGCTCACAGTCTTCACCGCCGCCTCGCCTCACAGAGCCCTCGCCGAGCTGGCCCGCAGGTTCAACGTGCTTCCTCTAATGGCGTTCTCCGTGGGCTTCACTCGCTTCGTCATCTCGAGCAAGCCCGACACGGCGAAAGAGATTCTCAGCAGCTCCACGTTCGCCGACAGGCCAGTGAAGGAGTCGGCGTACGAGCTTCTGTTCCACCGCACGATGGGGTTCGCGCCCTACGGGGAGTACTGGAGGAATCTGAGGAGAATCTCGGCGACCCATTTGTTCAGCCCTAAGAGAATCGGCGATTTCGGAGGGTTCAGAAAGGAAATAGGGCTGAAAATGGTGGATGAAATAAGTCACCCCGTGGATAAGAAAGGTGTCGTTGAGGTCAAAAAGGTGCTTCATTTTGGGTCACTTAACAACGTTATGATGACGGTTTTTGGTCGATCGTATGGGTTTGATGAGAAAGACAATGACGGGTTTGAGCTTGAGGAGATGGTGAGCGAGGGGTACGAGCTTCTCGGGATTTTCAACTGGAGCGACCATTTTCCTCTTCTGGGTTGGCTTGACCTCCAAGGCGTGAGGAAAAGGTGCAAAGCTTTGGTCTCAAAGGTGAACGCTTTTGTCGGAAATATCATCCAAGAACACAGAGCCATGAGAGTTAATGGTGATATTGGTGATCATGAAGAGAAAGCTGGTGACTTTGTGGACGTTTTGCTTGATCTAGAGAACAAAGGCGAGAAGCTTAGTGAGTCCGACATGATAGCCGTTCTCTGGGTACGTACAAAAGTTATCAAAATCAAATTTTTATTTTACTCTATTAAGTCTTTACTCTTTACCATACCAAAAAAATTAACTTTTTGTTTGTTGTTGTTTTTTAGGAGATGATTTTCCGAGGAACAGATACAGTGGCGATTCTACTAGAGTGGATTCTGGCAAGAATGGTTCTACACCCAGAAATTCAAGCCAAATCCCAAGGGGAAATCGACTCAGTGGTTGGCCGTTCACGAGCCGTCTCAGATTCCGACATCCCGAATCTTCCGTACCTCCAAGCCATAGTGAAGGAGTCTCTCCGAGTCCACCCACCGGGTCCTTTGCTCTCGTGGGCCCGTCTCGCAATCCACGACGTCTTCATCGGCCACGCCTTCATCCCCGCCGGCACCACCGCCATGGTGAACATGTGGTCCATAACCCACGACGAGGCAATCTGGCCGGAGCCGGAAAAGTTCAAACCGGAGCGCTTCACCGAAGAAGATGAGAATAGAGATGTGAGTGTATTGGGGTCTGATCTGAGGCTGGCTCCTTTCGGAGCCGGAAGGAGGGTCTGCCCGGGAAAAGCTTTGGGTTTGGCCTCGGTTCACCTCTGGTTGGCTCAGTTGCTTCAAAGCTTTGAGTGGCTTCCTTCTGATGCTAATACTGGCGTGGACTTGTCTGAGCAGCTTAAGCTTTCTCTGGAAATGAAGAATCCTTTGCGTTGCAGGGCTGTCCCTAGGTTTGCTTCTTAGGGTTCGTATATATAAATTAATACATATGAATCCAGTTTTATACATAGTATTATCGGCTTGTTGGTTTTGTATCTAGGTTTTGCTTTAAAAATATTAATGCTGCGCGTGTTTTGGGGTTGGAACTGATCAGAAATACCCGTGGTATGAATCACGAGTGGTTTTTTAAGGTTCTTATTATGCGCAGCAAAAGTAATGTAGCGGCTTTCAGTGTGTGTGTTAGTTTTGTTTGTTCGTTGCCTCTCCTGTAAGTCTAGGGTTTGGTAATTTGCATGGGCTTATATTTGTGGAAGGTGAACTGCTTTTGAATTATTATTAATGAAAGTGATGTGGTTTGAGTTGAATGAAAGTTTGTTCACATAGATGTTACTATTAAATATGTTACCGATTTTTTTATGTATTTTACAACTTACTTTGCAAGAAAGCTGCTTAGCAATATAAAAGCATTGATAATTTTCAAAAAATATAAAGGCATTATAATACGCTAGCATGTTAAATTTGCAAAGGAAAACAGTTGTTACGCGTAAAAGAAATGATGATTTTTAACTTATCTACGTGGATCCATTTGGCCAAATTATAGAAAGTACTACAAATTTTTCATATGAAACAAAAGTTGACGATTGATATTTCCATGAAGGCACCAATATTAAAGGAAATATCAAGAGAGATATATATGTAGTTCTAATAGGATTTAGGAAAGATGTATGTAATACTAATAGGATTTATGAGGGAGTGCTAATTTCCTGCCTTGGCATGGATTTTTTTCTCCTGCCATATTATATATTTTTGTCCTTTTATGCTGCGACCATGTTTAGTTTTTACTAGCTTGTGGTACGTAGCCCTTAATATACATATTATTTTATAGACCATAATTTATTTTCCAAAGATGATGGTTGCAGCAAGTTGAAAGCCATAATCCACGTATTAAGGGAAGCTTTCAATTCGATTTATTTACATACTCGGTAAAAAAAATATACTTAATTTCACACTTATTTAATCGTTCCTTATTATATTTCTATTAAGTTTTGCTCCATTAAATGGATTGAAATTTTTTTCATGAGTTGGAATTTGTTAGTGATAATATTTTTTTCATATACATTTTAGTATAAATGAAATTTTAGGTAAAGAATACTTTTTTCATACATAATATCGTAGTGGCTATTTCTGATTCAATATAATATTTAGTTGAAAATATCAGTAAGTTAATCATGTTTCATTATATAGAACAAAGAAAAATATATGGTTTATTTTATTTTATTTTTTAAATAAACAAAATTGAAACAAACACAGGAAAAATTTTCACAATAAAACAAAGAGGTTCTCTCATTTTTTTTCTCTTAACAATGGCATAATAGAATGTGTTAAAATCGCATGGATATTGGAGGTTTAATTGTTAAAGACATGTTTCATAATGCAAACATAATGAAAAGAATCATCATTTTTTGGTCTAAAATTAAAAGAAACAAGAAGTAATGTATATTCGGTTGTGATTTTTATGTATTGTAAAAAATTGTGTTAAATGATAGCTTAAAATTCCTTTCATACCAGCAGTCAATTCATAAATTTCCTATTTTATACACAAAAAAGTGCTTTTCTATTTCCCTTAAAAAATGGTTTTCTATTTTTCTTTTACTGTACGTCCAATAAGTGAACGAATTATACAAATTCATTCTAAAAAAAAAAACATATAAAAAATAAATAAATTAATATGGACAAAAGAAGTTACATAATGAAGAAAAAAATAAAAATAAAAAACATAAGACAAATAAAAAAAAAAAACATAAGACAAATAAAATTCATATATACAAAAACACATAAGACATAAGGAATATAATTTTTTAATAATAAACAACAAAAAATAAAAGAATTTGTTCAAACACCAAGGTAAGGGAAGAAAAAAATAAAATTAAAGAAAAGAGAGGGAGAATAATGGGGAACGATTTGCATGTAAAAAGCATGAATATACTCGGCATAATTGGTGTGAGGTATATGCACATCTTCCTTTATGTGAAAATTGGAACGTTTATTCTATATATAAAAAAAAAGTTGCAATGTTTGTTGTTCACTTGGACCAAATTCTTTGTCCCCGGCCATCAAAGAATAACACGTGGCCAAAATCCAATTGGGTGGAATTCACTCACTACAGCTCACGTGGAAGCAAGACAGGAAACCATGTATAAGGAAAAAACAAGCAGACGGGAAATGACCAAAACGCCCCAACAAAGAACAAATGAAGGGGTAAGAAGCTGAGGGCAAAACGGTAAAAGAAAAAGGCCAAAGTGGGGTATACATACCGAATTTTTTGAAAATTTGAGTGACAAAAAAGATCACACACTGTTCAAAGAACAATAAAAGCACTACCTCCTTTAGTATTATAGTCTAATTTCACAATTTACCCAAAAAAAATCAATATACTACCTATACATACAATAAAATGCATGCGTTATATGCATATTATATACTTTTTTTGCTCAATAAAAAAAGAGATCTGATAATGCACTTTATGTCTTCTAGTTCATTAGACTATAGCAGTAATCTCGGGTAGAGATGCAATATGAGCCGGGGATCGTGGGCCGGCCCAAGCTCAGCCTGACACAGTGATGGGCTGGGCCGGCACAGCCCGTCACTGTTTAAGGCACGACCCAGGCCATAAATATTAGTGGGCTGGGCTTGTCCAACATATATCAGCCCATGGGCCGGCCCGGCACAACCCATAAAAAATCATGGGCCCGACCCGTCTAGGCCCATAATGGGCCGGCCCAGCTAGGCCCATAATATCTTCATGTTTTTTTTAGTAATTTTGAAAACATCTTATGTATAATTATCTTGATTGTACTTTTTTTCCTTACCAAGGTTTTGTCCCATTGGTTTTCCTTAGAAATGTTTTTATTTAATGAGGCAATTGTAAATAAAATATCTATTTTCATATTTCAATTGACTATTCAAACTTTTATATTTGTTAACTTGTTTAAAAATTCAAAAATAAAAATTAAAAATTAAAAATTAAAAATTGCATGCTTAGATGGGCTGGCACATCTAAACCCATGATGGGCTAAGATGGGCCTTGAATGGGTCAGCCCATTCAAGGCCCATGGCACGGCCCAGCCTAACTCACGTAAAATTGGCACGTGGTGTGGGTTGGGCCGAGGTAATTCTTATATGGGCCGGCATAGCCTGGCCCACAAAATTCGTGGGTTGGGTTAACCCGGCTCACGCCTTGCGTGGGCCTAAGGAGAACGGGCCGGGCCGGGCCGATTCGTTCTTACATCTCTAATCTCGGGTACCACTGAGTAT